TTTTTATTACGTTTATTAACCGTAGTTTAACATCGAAAATAATCGTAGCCATATATCTTTACTGCACTAGTATGTATTTATTATGTCAGATCCGAAGAGTGCAAAATTGCCAATTGTTAGGAAGAAAATCTGTTACCTGATACTGAAAGAATGTTACCAACATCATTAGTTGTAAAGTTCAAACCCCCCAGCTTTGGAGGACTCACTGCCCATAAGGAGAAAATCTAAAGAAAGTGATGGATGCATGTTCTTCAGTTAAAAGCAAGTGGATAAAAAGTAGGATCGAAATATCATATACAAAAGCAGAAGCATAGGACATTTTCACCATATTAAGTATCATACCTCTTGATAAGCAATGTCATGAAGTGAGAAGACACAATAAGCAATGACAGATGACATTAAGGGCCAATTCAGGAAAAGGTTTTCATTCTTTTTTGTTATCTTTTCATTGTCTGTGGCATCAGTTCCATTTTCTAAAGCTTCAGCATACTCTGTGGATTCATTGCTAGAATTGTGGTTGTGAAGTGTTTCCTGGACGTATTTCAAACAATTATTTTAATGTTGTAGGTCAACTAGACAGTATAAAGCGTGGAGAAGGAGCACATCTGAGCTGAGAAAATCATACTATAGTTATTTTTCATTGTAAAATGTCGTCATCAAAATTTTAAAAGTAACATCCACAAAAGATAAAGGAGATAAAAGAAAATGGCATTCAATGAACAGATTTGTCAGAGTAAGATACATACTGGAATCCAGATGCATCCGATTGCTACTACAAATGCAAATGCTGATGTTATGAGGCTGGGCAAGAAGTATGGAAACCTGCAGAATGATTTATGTTTGGTAAATGAAAATCAGAAAATCATTAAGATTTTATTTGGATAAATTTCTTCATGAGTACTTACAGGAAGATAAAATAAGAAAAAAAAATAATAAGTTTCTTCAGAAGCAAGAATCAGATTATCCTTAATCTAATTTGCAAAAAGTTTTCTTGTACTATAGCTTCTCTAAAAGATTATTCAAGTATAAACTAATTTTAGCTTAAGGAGAAGTTTATTTCTTTTTTCCTTATTTTTTTCTTTCTCTGTAAGTGTTCATGAAGAAGTTTACCCAAATAGGTCCAAAAGATAAAGTAATGGAAGGACAAAATCTAAAGGGAAACTGAATATGAAAGTCCACTTACTTATCCCAAAAGGAATCCTTTGGAAAAATATTTGGGTACTTCTCTACTGGCTACAATTAAATACACAATTTCAGCAGTTAACCTTCTCAGAAAGCCAGAAGACTATCAATTCAAAACATTTCATCTTATAAACATATACAGATTCAAGGCTTTATGCAAGATTCATCTTATACACCAGATGGCTAAGAATATGAATAGCACCTGAGCCAAATAGCCTCCCAGTGATGGACCAATTATTAAACCTATGCCCCAAGCTGAGCTTACCTAAAAGCAAATAATCACAGCATGACTTGTTGGTGTGGAAATGGAGTTCTAAGAATTAACATTGTAAAAGAGTTCGGGATGCTTACTGTTGACAGTCCTAGAGCTTGATGTTCTTCTCTAAAAAGTTCAGAGGCATAGGCCTGTTAAATAAAGAAGTTATGCAGGAAGATGTAGAAATTGAAATTTGGAAGAGATTGAAGAAGCTATATCCAAATACATATGCACATGAAAGTGTAAAATACTAGGAGTTAAAGATATGATACCTTCACTGGTCCTAGAAAACCATTGAAACTTCCCAGAAGAAATCTCGTGATAATAGCCATCCAAAAACTTGTGCTAAGGCCAAATAGTGTGTTGAAAACGACACTGAAATCAAGTAAGCATTGATAATTATGGGAATCTTCAAATGATAACTTAAAAGAAAGTATGCAGTTCATTGGCATATATACTTACACTGAAGTAACCCCTATAAGTATAGCAGGTTTTCGACCAAAGCGATCTGCTATGATTCCCCACAGAAAAGATGTCAAACATCTGCCAAGCATGAATACAGAACCTACCACATTTTTATGATGCAGACATCAATAATAAATAACTCACGAATTTTTGATGCCGTCAAAAACTGGACATAGTAAAATTTAGTCTTACCCACATAACCAGCATAAGTACTAATATCAGCTTCTGTTTTCGCTATATTAAAATCCCTTACCTGAAAATCATAATGTTGCATCATTGAGGATGTATTTTATGTGTATCTACACAAAGTTAAAAATGACAAAAGCAGATGGAAAAACAATAATAAGCAACAAAAACTTTCATTTGGCACATCTAACATGTACCAATTATCAGTCTTACAACAACATTCTATGGTTGACAGGGAACAGGAAGCAAGGGTACTAGATATACTGAAGAAAATCTTTTTGGTTGATGACTTTTAATGGTTTTTAAATTATAGATTGAAGGGAGTGTAAACTTGTCTTCGTTTTCTAATTGTCATAATACTTACATAAATAAAAACTGAAATTGAACTTCAAGCACTCAATAAATAATTATGCATTGAGATAACTTCCAACAATGTGACCAAATCAGAGTGTACATAGTAAAATTGTTACTGTACTCATTTTGATGGTTAAACTCACCATGAAATAGAGGAACGGAAAGAGAGATGATATAGGCAGTGCTGAACAAGACAAAATAAAATGGCATCAGATAGGATAAAAGTAGTTTAAACAGATTGAGAATGAAAAGAAAAATGACAACTGGTAGAAAACAATCAAACAATGATTTTCCATTCAAAGTATAAAATTGAAAATACCTTCAGACAATTTTGTATTTAACTTCAATTCTCCCCAACTACTGTGGGATTTGGAGGCCCTACTTGAGCTACTTATAAGTGTACATGGATGAACAGACGTTAGGAATGTTCAAACTGAATAAAACTACTACTGTTTTAGCTTGAAAAGCTTAACTGTAAAGGTAAATTTGAAATTTGCAAGGTAACATGTGAATTTTGTATTCAACTTCAGTCAAGTCAGTCACCAACTTTGTTGCCAACCCCTACTGCCCTAACCAAGCAATACCCAAAAGTGACAATTGCATCTGATTACATTTCTTATATGTTTACTTTCACCTACAAAGCATAGAATGCTGGTAAAAGTATATATAAGTTATCATTGTAGATGATTGCTTCTTCATCAACTTGAGAAAATCATTTTTCAACACAGAACCAAACATACTGTTCTTGTTTAAACCAAGTGACATTTAAGGTCTAAGAAGCTTCTACAAGCTTACACTGAAAGCAAATTTTGACTTATAAAAGCTCAGTTCATTAGCATCTAGAAGTGATAATTGTTTTTCAAACAGGAATTATCAAGTTGCACTTCAGGAATCAACAAAACCAGACTTTCCAACAACCCAAAAGTTTGAAAAAGAAAAAACCAGAACAAAACTCACGCAGAAGATAAAAAACTAAGAGTAGTGTGAATTGTTTATACCAGCACTCAACGCCACCATCCACATGATAAAAAGCTTTGTAATTGGCACACCCTGTCCCTCACTCAACTCTTTGGCTTGATCCACTTTGCAACCGGGGCAGTTCTCATAGTACTTCTTCTTCTCCAACAATGGCTGTTTACCTTTCTCCTCTTCCATGTTTCTGAGACGACCCTCTTTCCTACTACTTAGCATGCACCATTCAAACCCAAAAAGTTGATGAATTTAATAAAAGGGTTAAGGGGGTGTGTTGTTTTCAAACACAAAAGAGAAACAACAGTAAAAGATTCGAGGAAACAAACGTCCACACAGAACCAGAGAACCTCTACGAGTTGTGGTCCTTTCTAGCTTTTGAGAAACAAAAGATAAACGTGATTGGTGCAAGGTCTGGTGTGTCTCTCTCAGCTATATGATGAAGGCATCATTGCACACGTCACAAAGTGAAAATCTCCCCAACAGCAAAACCATGAAGAGAACATAATACTGTTGTTTTTCCATTTTGAAAACGACACCTTGTTTACAGTAAAATAGAAAAGAGATTTTCAGAGAGACAAATTTTATATATTTATTCAATATTTTTTTTTAAAGTATAAAAGTTTATTTTTTTATGATATTTTATTTTTATAATATATTAAATAAATATAAAGTTTATTGTATTAATTTTACTATATTTTTAGAGATACCTTTCTAAGGGTATCTATCATTGATGATTGGACACGTATCTAATAGTTGATAATGAATGAGTTTATAAAATAATAATTATTTCATTTATATGTTATAAATAGGATTAACTTCATTCTAATAAATATAAAAAAATTAAAATTATTTCTAAAATATTTTTGTTAAGTTTTTTTAAATTATTATCATTTAGAAAGTTGTGGAAAGATTTTAAAATGAATTAATTTATTTACTTGATAATTAAACTAGTTCAAAGGACGTCATGCATACATTAGTTATTTTCTATATATCATTATTTATTTCTTCTAATTTTCTAAGAAATTTTCTTGAACTTGTTCTTATCTTGTTTATTTAATTTTGTTTTTACCTTCTATGATTATTTTGTCCTTTCTTTCCAAAATGAGTTGATTTGTTTAAAATCATTCTAAAAATGATAACTACTCCAAAAGACGTGTTTCTTTTTTATTTCTTCACCTCTTTCTAGTGTAATTAAATTTGACTTCTCCTCAAGAGTTTTTTTTTCTCCATTGATCGATGAATTTTCTTTGAAATTTCACACCTTAATGCAACTTGTTCCTGCAAAAAAGCAATTCTGACACAATGTACTAAAAAATGTGAAAAGGACCCTACATTAAAAAAATGTGTACTTTTCATACATTTTCTTTTAGATTATTTATATCATGTACTAACATTCTTCTTTGGATACAGTTCAGAAAATTCATGCTCTAAAATAAATGTGCATGTTTAAAAAGCACAAAAGTTAATATTAAATTAATGTAGTGAATTGAATTATAATATTGTNTGTTCCTGTTTTCCAAATTAACAAGTTAAATGTGTCACAATTCCATCACTAACTAGTCTCAATCAATGTATAGATTCAAAAGTCAACAAAAACTACTTAAAAATTTACCACTACTCGGTTTTGTTGAAGGAACAAACCAGTCACGATGGTGATCTAAATCCCATAAAAAGAGTACAATCAGTAAAATATGTAACTTACAGAAATTTTTCTGAATCAAAATAACTAATCTCCCATGGTCTAGTATGTATAATTCAGCTCTACAACCAAAAATCTCTAATAAACGATTGAACAAATGAAGTGGTGCACTTACAGACAGAATGCTCTTCAGACTTGAAGCAGTACTCAACCCTATGAATAGTGCTAAGCCTGAGAACAATGCAATGAAGGGGTAGCTTTGCAAAAGAGGTATGGTTAACAGAGCTGAAATGCGGGCACTACCAATAGCTCCACTTGCTCTTTGAACAAAAGGGTATAAGGCAAGTTGGTAAATTATAAGTGCAAGACCTGAACATTACAAAAATCAGTAAAGATACAAAATATCTCTATTAGGCAGTACAAATACAAAAAATACTAAATGTTCAAAATTCTACCTTTTTGTCACCATGAAACCCAAAGTACAATTTTTTTTTATCAGAAGTATACAATTAGAGGAATAAATTTAATGTGGTACTATCATTAGTGCAAATATCACTTTAAACTACACCATATAGACTACAGTTTTTCATAATCTATAAAAATACGGTGACAACTTTGCAATTTCTGACAAGATATTGTCTACGGTTTTTTTATAGAACTGTAGTTTATTATGTACATAGGCTACGCTTTTCATCTATAACCTATAACCTATCCTTTTTTATTACGTTTATTAACCGTAGTTTAACATCGAAAATAATCGTAGCCATATATCTTTACTGCACTAGTATGTATTTATTATGTCAGATCCGAAGAGTGCAAAATTGCCAATTGTTAGGAAGAAAATCTGTTACCTGATACTGAAAGAATGTTACCAACATCATTAGTTGTAAAGTTCAAACCCCCCAGCTTTGGAGGACTCACTGCCCATAAGGAGAAAATCTAAAGAAAGTGATGGATGCATGTTCTTCAGTTAAAATCAAGTGGATAAAAAGTAGGATCGAAATATCATATACAAAAGCAGAAGCATAGGACATTTTCACCATATTAAGTATCATACCTCTTGATAAGCAATTTCATGAAGTGAGAAGACACAATAAGCAATGACAGATGACATTAAGGGCCAATTCAGGAAAAGGTTTTCATTCTTTTTTGTTATCTTTTCATTGTCTGTGGCATCAGTTCCATTTTCTAAAGCTTCAGCATACTCTGTGGATTCATTGCTAGAATTGTGGTTGTGAAGTGTTTCCTGGACGTATTTCAAACAATTATTTTAATGTTGTAGGTCAACTAGACAGTATAAAGCGTGGAGAAGGAGCACATCTGAGCTGAGAAAATCATACTATAGTNATAAAATTCAAGATATTGATTATAATTATTGGTGTAATGTTGATTCAAATTATTATGATATTAAACTAATATTTCAAAAATATTTTCTAGTGATGTGTCTTGCATTAAGGAAAATTATTTTATTATTTTCTTCTTTCCTTTTTTTCTTTACCCACCATTAATTATTATTCTCTTATTCTTTAATTTTAATTATTTACTTTCCCGGACGAAATTGGGTGTTGACAATACCTAATGAGAAGCTTCGACCCATATTTTATGGTCCTTATATAGTCCAAGTGTCAACAGAATGAATGGCAAAAGATATGCAATTATATATTTATTTGTAACAGTTATTCTCTTAATTAGGATAATTAGCTGTAGTAAATGTATGTATTGCAATTTAGCTTATTTAGTGGGCTGAAAATGAGCTTGAGAGATTGTAATCATTTGTATTTATATGAAAATTCTCCAGCAAGAGGAGAGACAATTTTTGGCTCAATCTTCTCTGAGTTTAACATGCTATCAGACTAGGTTACGATCCCAAAACCTAGTTTGTGTTTTTCAGCCTCGTCCTAGATTCACGATCCTGCTTCACGATTCTTGGTTTTTTTCTCGTTTCCTTTTTCCCTCGCTCCATGACTTTCGAAAAATATGTCTTATTCGTTCGCCTTAATGAAAAAAACTACTCAGCTTGGGCATTCCAATTCCATATCTTTGTCACCGAAAAATATTTGTGGGGTCATGTCGATGGCAACACTCCTACCCCTAACAAAGACCAAGATATGGTTGCTCATGCCAAGTGGGCAGTCAAAGATGCTCAAGTCATGGCCTAGATCCTTGGTTCTGTTGATTCGAACATTGTCTTGAATCTTCGTCCTTACAAGACTGCAACCGCAATGTGGTCTTACCTGAAGAAAATTTATAGTCAAAATAATGCAGCTCGCCGATTCCAGCTTGAGCACCTCGCTGTATTTAAACAGGATAGTCTCTCCATCTCTGATTTTTACTCTCAATTCATGAATCTTTGGGCTGAATACACTGATATAGTTTATGCAAACTTGCCTTCTGAAGGTCTAAGTTCCGTACAAACAATTCATGATATTACTAAACGGGACCAATTTCTTATGAAATTGCGATCTGACTTTGAAGGTATCTGATCCAATCTAATGCATAGAGATCCTGTCCCATCGTTGGATGCATGTCTCAATGATTTGTTACGTGAAGAACAACGTCTTCTTACACAGTCCATCATTGAAGAACAAAAATTGTCTACTGTTCTAGTAGCATACGGGGCACAAGGAAAGTCACACTGCCATGACATGAGTACTATTTAATGTTTTAGTTGCAAGCGATTTGGCCACTATGCTTCAACCTATCCAAAAAGATTCTGCAACTACTGCAAAAAGGATGGTCATATTATTAAGGAATGTCCAATAAGGCCACCACAACGACCTGCAACAACTTTTACCACAACAACTGATTCTTCTATTCCCAACAGTTCTGTCAATCCAGCACCTGTCCATCAAAATGCTACTACTGATGTTGCAACTTTGACCCCTGAAATGGTTCAACAAATGATCATTTCAGCTTTTTCTGCTTTGGGTTTCTCAAGTAACTCCTCTTAACCATGGTACTTTGACTCTGGGGCTTCCAACCACATGACCAACAATACTCGATTCCTTACTAATATACAAAAATATTTGGGGAATCTCAAGATACATACTGCTGGTGGAAATCAATTGCCTATAACAAAAACTGGTGATATTTCTTCATTTCTAAAAAAATGTCGTTGTCGCTCCTGGTCTCACTAGTAATCTTATTTCTGTTGGTCAATTAGTCGACAATAATTGTCGAGTTCAATTCTCACAATCTGGTTGTCTTGTGCATGATCAACACTCGGGGAAGATAATCACAATAGGGCCTAAAGTTTGACGTCTTTTTCCCATTCATTTCTCGCTGTCTCCAAGTCTTTCTTTGCCTTTAGTCTCTTGTAATTCTGTTATTGTTGATCACCAAGTGTGGCATAAGCGCCTTGGGCATCCCAACTCAAATGTACTCCATGACATTCTCAAATCTGGTTTTCTTCGAAATAAACACACCCCATCACTTAATAATATTCATTTTGATTGCATTCCTTGTAAGCTTGGCAAAAGTAAAATTCTACCTTTTCCAACACTTCAGTCGCATGAAACACAACCATTTGATATCATCCATAGTGATGTTTGGGGGGTGGCACCAGTTACGTCTCATGCTCATTACAAATATTTTGTAACTTTTATTGATGATTATAGTCATTTCACTTGGGTCTATTTTTTGTGCTCAAAGGATGAAGTCTTTTCTACTTTCAAATTCTTTTATGCTTATGTTCAGGTCCAATTCTCCTCCAAAATCAAGATTCTTCGCTCCGATAATGGGAGGAATACACATCACACTTTTTTCAGAAATTCTTGCAATCCAATGGCATTTTATCTCAAAGATCATGCCCATCAACCCCCCAACAAAACAGGGTAGCTGAACGGAAAATTCGCCATTTACTAGATGTTGTCCGCACTCTTTTGCTGGAGTCGCATGTGCCATCACGATTTTGGTGTGAATCCCTTTCCACTGTAGTTCATCTTATAAACATATTGCCATCTCCTTCCATAAGTAATGCATCTCCTTTCACTCGATTATTTGGTCACCCACCCGATTACTCCACTCTTCATATTTTTGGTTGTGCATGTTATGTCCATCTTCCTCCACACGAACGCACCAAGCTCACTGCACAATCTATTGAATGTGCTTTTCTTGGCTATTCTCCTCATCAAAAGGGTTTTCTATGATATGATCCTAACCTTCATCGGATTCGGGTCTGTCGAAATGTCATTTTTCTAGAAAGTGTATATTTTTTTGCAAACCATCATGACTCGTTCTCTTCTCCAATTTATGTTTTGCCATTGTTTTCTAATTCTTCTGAAGGTCAATCATCATCTAGACCTCTATTGACCTATCAAAGGCGAAAAACTGTCACTCAACATCACGTAGCACAATCCCATGGGCCTCTTCAAGATAATTCCTTGGATGCTGGTCTAGTACAAGCTCTAGAACCAGAACCAGCTCCTTTACGACGCAGTTCACGCATTGGTAAGCCCTAGAAAGGTATATATGTTCCATGACAACAACATTATCATCTATTCATATTCCTTCTTCTTATAAACAGGCAATGAAGAATGAATGTTGGCGAAAAGCTATTGAAAGTGAACTTCTCGCCTTGGAAAAAAAATCAGACATGGGATATAATGCCATGTCCTCCATCTGTTAAACCCTTAGGCAGCAAGTTTGTGTTCTCTATAAAGTTGCGTTCGGATGGCTTCATAGACTGTTACAAGGCGCGACTGGTTGTGCTTGGAAATAAGCAAGAGTATGGCCTAGACTATGACGAGACTTTTGCTCAAGTTGCCAAGATGACCACTGTGCGCACTATCCTTGCTCTTGTTGCATCCAAATATTGGCCATTACATCAAATGGATGTCAAAAATGCATTCCTCCATGGTGACCTTAAGGAGGAAGTTTACATCACACTTCCTGGTGGTATGTCGACCCTCTCCCCGAATATTGTTTTCAAATTGAAACACTCTTTATATGGATTGAAGCAGGCCCCAAGAGTATGGTTTGAAAAGTTTCACTCCACTCTTCTTAGTTTTTCTTTCAATCAAAGTCAGTATGATCTATCACTTTTCCTTCAACGGACTCCTAAAGGCATCGTCATACTTCTTGATATGTGGATGACATTGTGGTCATTGGTTCTGATCAAGATGTTATTTCTAAAATCAAACAAATGCTGCATTCAAATTTTCACATGAAAGAGTTAGGCTCTCTCAATTATTTCTTAGGTTTAGAGGTGCATTACCATTCTGAAGGCATTTTCGTAAATCAGCATAAATATATTCAAGATTTGGTCCAGCTAGCGGGACTCACCAATGCTACCCCTGTTGACACTCCAATGGAAGTTAATGTTAAATATAAACGACATGAAGGAGAGCTTCTTGACGATCCCACTCAATATAGGAAACTAGTTGGTAGTCTCATCTATGTGACTATCACTCTCCCTGATATTTCTTTTGTTGTAGACATTGTTAGTAAGTTCATGCAATCTCCACGACACTTTCATTTTTCAGTCTTCCAGCGTATCATTAAACATCTCCTTGGCACCTCAAGTCGTGGTTTATTCTTTCCTGGTAATTCATCTCTTCAACTCCAAGCTTATAATGACACTGATTGGGCTGGCTGTCCAGACACCAGGAGATCAACTACTGGCTGGTGTATGTTCCTAGGGAATGCTCCTATTTCATGGAAATGTAAGAAACAAGATTGAGTCTCAAAGTCATCCACTGAAGCAGAATATCGCGCAATGTCTGCTGCTTGTTCTGAAATAATATGGCTACGTGGTCTTCTTACAGAGCTTGGATTGTCTCAAGCACAACTCACTCCACTGCATGCTAATAACACCAGTGCCATACAAATTGCAGCAAATCCAGTTTACCATGAACGAACGAAACACATCGAGGTCGATTGTCACTCTATCCGAGAAGCGTATGATCGTAGATCATCAATCTACCACATGTCTCAACATCTGTTCAAATAGCTGACATTTTCACTAAATCGTTGCCACGCCAGCGTCACAATTTTCTACTTGGCAAATTGATGCTTGTAGATTCACCAACATCAATTTGAGGGGGGATGTCAACAGAATGAATGGAAAAAGATATGCAATTGTATATTTGTTTGAAACAGTTATTCTCTTAATTAGGATAATTAGCTGCAGTAAATGTATATATTGCAGTTTAGCTTATTTAGTGGGATGAAAATCAGCTTGACAGATTGTAATCATTTGTATTTATATGAAAATTCTCCAGCAAGAGGAGAGACAATTTTTGGCTCAATCTTCTCTGAGTTTAACACCAGAAACACATAGAACTTGTAGCTTATAAGCCGAACCTCCCTACCCACAGTAGAATTCATCCAGACTTTCATGTGTCCCTCCTCAAGCGCATTGTCCAACCAACCACTCCAATTCAACCTCTTCCATCAACACTTACAGAAGATTTGATGTTAGAGGTCTATCCAGAGGAGTTGCTCGATGTTCGCACATCTCCAACAGGGGATTTGGAAGTTTTACTTAAATGGCAAGATCTCCCATCCATTGAAAATAGTTGGGAATCTGCCACAACCTTCAATACAGAGTTCCCTGCTTTTCACCTTGAGGACAAGGTGAAACTTCATGGAGGGGGTATTGATAGGTACAAAGGGAATGTTTACAGCAGAAGGGATTTGGAAGTTTTACTTAAATGGCAACATCTCCCATCCATTGAAAATAGTTGGGAATCTGCCACAACCATCAATACAGAGTTCCCTGCTTTTCACCTTGAGGACAAGGTGAAATTTCATGCAGGGGGTATTGATAGGTATTGTTAGATGTTAAGATGTGTGTTTATATTAATTGGGCTCAGCCCATTCTGTATTAAGGGCCTTGGCCCATATCTTACATTATAAATAAACTACCCTATATGTATGCTAAATACATAAGGGAGATTTCTCCCAATCTTCTCCATTATTCACAGGTACAAAGGGAAGGTTTACAGCAGAAGAAAAATGGGGATGATTTAGTTTATTGTATGACAGACAATTTTAAGTAGTTTTAAGCAGTTGTAAGGTAGTTATTTATGTGTAGTTAGTTGCATCTGACTTCTATAGAGTCAGAATGGACAGTTTGTAGTAGTTTCTATCTTGTTGTTGGAAGTTCTGTAAATCTAGGGAAGTGGAGAGTCTAGTTTTCTCGAATAACCACAAGTTGTATGTATGTTTTAGTTTCTCCATTTGGAGGAAACCTAGTGTATTGTTGGAACAATGATATACAGTTCTCAAGGTTGTTTTGTATAGGTTTGCAATACCTATCACTTTCTAGGTTTTCTCCTAAAATAGACCTTGAGAGTTCTATCATCTACATTCACGTTTTTTGAACTGGGAGATAAGTGAAATAAAAGCTGAAGAAATAAGAGGAACACTCACAATGCACCACCTGATGCAGGGCCAATAGCTTTGAATAGAGACATGCATGTCATTGCAATACCATTAGCAGCTCCTCTTTGGTGTTGTTCCTGTTTTCCAAATTAACAAGTTAAATGTGTCACAATTCCATCACTAACTAGTCTCAATCAATGTATAGATTCAAAAGTCAACAAAAACTACTGAAAAATTTACCACTACTCGGTTTAGTTGAAGGAACAAACCAGTCACGATGGTGATCTAAATCCCATAAAAAGAGTACAATCAGTAAAATATGTAACTTACAGAAAATTTTCTGAATCAAAATAACTAATCTCCCAAGGTCTAGTATGTATAATTCAGCTCTACAACCAAAAATCTCTAATAAACGATTGAACAAATGAAGTGGTGCACTTACAGACAGAATGCTCTTCAGACTTGAAGCAGTACTCAACCCTATGAATAGTGCTAAGCCTGAGAACAATGCAATGAAGGGGTAGCTTTGCAAAAGAGGTATGGTTAACAGAGCTGAAATGCGGGCACTACCAATAGCTCCACTTGCTCTTTGAACAAAAGGGTATAAGGCAAGTTGGTAAATTATAAGTGCAAGACCTGAACATTACAAAAATCAGTAAAGATACAAAATATCTCTATTAGGCAGTACAAATACAAAAAATACTAAATGTTCAAAATTCTACCTTTTTGTCACCATGAAACCCAAAGTACAATTTTTTTTTATCAGAAGTATACAATTAGAGGAATAAATTTAATGTGGTACTATCATTAGTGCAAATATCACTTTAAACTACACCATATAGACTACAGTTTTTCATAATCTATAAAAATACGGTGACAACTTTGCAATTTCTGACAAGATATTGTCTACGGTTTTTTTATAGAACTGTAGTTTATTATGTACATAGGCTACGCTTTTCATCTATAACCTATAACCTATCCTTTTTTATTACGTTTATTAACCGTAGTTTAACATCGAAAATAATCGTAGCCATATATCTTTACTGCACTAGTATGTATTTATTATGTCAGATCCGAAGAGTGCAAAATTGCCAATTGTTAGGAAGAAAATCTGTTACCTGATACTGAAAGAATGTTACCAACATCATTAGTTGTAAAGTTCAAACCCCCCAGCTTTGGAGGACTCACTGCCCATAAGGAGAAAATCTAAAGAAAGTGATGGATGCATGTTCTTCAGTTAAAAGCAAGTGGATAAAAAGTAGGATCGAAATATCATATACAAAAGCAGAAGCATAGGACATTTTCACCATATTAAGTATCATACCTCTTGATAAGCAATGTCATGAAGTGAGAAGACACAATAAGCAATGACAGATGACATTAAGGGCCAATTCAGGAAAAGGTTTTCATTCTTTTTTGTTATCTTTTCATTGTCTGTGGCATCAGTTCCATTTTCTAAAGCTTCAGCATACTCTGTGGATTCATTGCTAGAATTGTGGTTGTGAAGTGTTTCCTGGACGTATTTCAAACAATTATTTTAATGTTGTAGGTCAACTAGACAGTATAAAGCGTGGAGAAGGAGCACATCTGAGCTGAGAAAATCATACTATAGTTATTTTTCATTGTAAAATGTCGTCATCAAAATTTTAAAAGTAACATCCACAAAAGATAAAGGAGATAAAAGAAAATGGCATTCAATGAACAGATTTGTCAGAGTAAGATACATACTGGAATCCAGATGCATCCGATTGCTACTACAAATGCAAATGCTGATGTTATGAGGCTGGGCAAGAAGTATGGAAACCTGCAGAATGATTTATGTTTGGTAAATGAAAATCAGAAAATCATTAAGATTTTATTTGGATAAATTTCTTCATGAGTACTTACAGGAAGATAAAATAAGAAAAAAAAATAATAAGTTTCTTCAGAAGCAAGAATCAGATTATCCTTAATCTAATTTGCAAAAAGTTTTCTTGTACTATAGCTTCTCTAAAAGATTATTCAAGTATAAACTAATTTTAGCTTAAGGAGAAGTTTATTTCTTTTTTCCTTATTTTTTTCTTTCTCTGTAAGTGTTCATGAAGAAGTTTACCCAAATAGGTCCAAAAGATAAAGTAATGGAAGGACAAAATCTAAAGGGAAACTGAATATGAAAGTCCACTTACTTATCCCAAAAGGAATCCTTTGGAAAAATATTTGGGTACTTCTCTACTGGCTACAATTAAATACACAATTTCAGCAGTTAACCTTCTCAGAAAGCCAGAAGACTATCAATTCAAAACATTTCATCTTATAAACATATACAGATTCAAGGCTTTATGCAAGATTCATCTTATACACCAGATGGCTAAGAATATGAATAGCACCTGAGCCAAATAGCCTCCCAGTGATGGACCAATTATTAAACCTATGCCCCAAGCTGAGCTTACCTAAAAGCAAATAATCACAGCATGACTTGTTGGTGTGGAAATGGAGTTCTAAGAATTAACATTGTAAAAGAGTTCGGGATGCTTACTGTTGACAGTCCTAGAGCTTGATGTTCTTCTCTAAAAAGTTCAGAGGCATAGGCCTGTTAAATAAAGAAGTTATGCAGGAAGATGTAGAAATTGAAATTTGGAAGAGATTGAAGAAGCTATATCCAAATACATATGCACATGAAAGTGTAAAATACTAGGAGTTAAAGATATGATACCTTCACTGGTCCTAGAAAACCATTGAAACTTCCCAGAAGAAATCTCGTGATAATAGCCATCCAAAAACTTGTGCTAAGGCCAAATAGTGTGTTGAAAACGACACTGAAATCAAGTAAGCATTGATAATTATGGGAATCTTCAAATGATAACTTAAAAGAAAGTATGCAGTTCATTGGCATATATACTTACACTGAAGTAACCCCTATAAGTATAGCAGGTTTTCGACCAAAGCGATCTGCTATGATTCCCCACAGAAAAGATGTCAAACATCTGCCAAGCATGAATACAGAACCTACCACAATTTTATGATGCAGACATCAATAATAAATAACTCACGAATTTTTGATGCCGTCAAAAACTGGACATAGTAAAATTTAGTCTTACCCACATAACCAGCATAAGTACTAATATCAGCTTCTGTTTTCGCTATATTAAAATCCCTTACCTGAAAATCATAATGTTGCATCACTGAGGATGTATTTTATGTGTATCTACACAAAGTTAAAAATGACAAAAGCAGATGGAAAAACAATAATAAGCAACAAAAACTTTCATTTGGCACATCTAACATGTACCAATTATCAGTCTTACAACAACATTCTACGGTTGACAGGGAACAGGAAGCAAGGGTACTAGATATACTGAAGAAAATCTTTTTGGTTGATGACTTTGAATGGTTTTTAAATTATAGATTGAAGGGAGTGTAAACCTGCCTTCGTTTTCTAATTGTCATAATACATACATAAATAAAAACTGAAATTGAACTTCAAGCACTCAATAAATAATTATGCATTGAGATAACTTCCAACAATGTGACCAAATCAGAGTGTACATAGTAAAATCGTTACCGTACTCATTTTGATGGTTAAACTCACCATGAAATAGAGGAACGGAAAGAGAGATGATATAGGCAGTGCTGAACAAGACAAAATAAAATGGCATCAGATAGGATAAAAGTAGTTTAAACAGATTGAGAATGAAAAGAAAAATGACAACTGGTAGAAAACAATCAAACAATGATTTTCCATTCAAAGTATAAAATTGAAAATACCTTCAGACAATTTTGTATTTAACTTCAATTCTCCCCAACTACTGTGGGATTTGGAGGCCCTACTTGAGCTACTTATAAGTGTACATGGATGAACAGACGTTAGGAATGTTCAAACTGAATAAAACTACTACTGTTTTAGCTTGAAAAGCTTAACTGTAAAGGTAAATTTGAAATTTGCAAGGTAACATGTGAATTTTGTATTCAACTTCAGTCAAGTCAGTCACCAACTTTGTTGCCAACCCCTACTGCCCTAACCAAGCAATACCCAAAAGTGACAATTGCATCTGATTACATTTCTTATATGTTTACTTTCACCTACAAAGCATAGAATGCTGGTAAAAGTATATATAAGTTATCATTGTAGATGATTGCTTCTTCATCAACTTGAGAAAATCATTTTTCAACACAGAACCAAACATACTGTTCTTGTTTAAACCAAGTGACATTTAAGGTCTAAGAAGCTTCTACAAGCTTACACTGAAAGCAAATTTTGACTTATAAAAGCTCAGTTCATTAGCATCTAGAAGTGATAATTGTTTTTCAAACAGGAATTATCAAGTTGCACTTCAGGAATCAACAAAACCAGACTTTCCAACAACCCAAAAGTTTGAAAAAGAAAAAACCAGAACAAAACTCACGCAGAAGATAAAAAACTAAGAGTAGTGTGAATTGTTTATACCAGCACTCAACGCCACCATCCACATGATAAAAAGCTTTGTAATTGGCACACCCTGTCCCTCACTCAACTCTTTGGCTTGATCCACTTTGCAACCGGGGCAGTTCTCATAGTACTTCTTCTTCTCCAACAATGGCTGTTTACCTTTCTCCTCTTCCATGTTTCTGAGACGACCCTCTTTCCTACTACTTAGCATGCACCATTCAAACCCAAAAAGTTGATGAATTTAATAAAAGGGTTAAGGGGGTGTGTTGTTTTCAAACACAAAAGAGAAACAACAGTAAAAGATTCGAGGAAACAAACGTCCACACAGAACCAGAGAACCTCTACGAGTTGTGGTCCTTTCTAGCTTTTGAGAAACAAAAGATAAACGTGATTGGTGCAAGGTCTGGTGTGTCTCTCTCAGCTATATGATGAAGGCATCATTGCACACGTCACAAAGTGAAAATCTCCCCAACAGCAAAACCATGAAGAGAACATAATACTGTTGTTTTTCCATTTTGAAAACGACACCTTGTTTACAGTAAAATAGAAAAGAGATTTTCAGAGAGACAAATTTTATATATTTATTCAATATTTTTTTTTAAAGTATAAAAGTTTATTTTTTTATGATATTTTATTTTTATAATATATTAAATAAATATAAAGTTTATTGTATTAATTTTACTATATTTTTAGAGATACCTTTCTAAGGGTATCTATCATTGATGATTGGACACGTATCTAATAGTTGATAATGAATGAGTTTATAAAATAATAATTATTTCATTTATATGTTATAAATAGGATTAACTTCATTCTAATAAATATAAAAAAATTAAAATTATTTCTAAAATATTTTTGTTAAGTTTTTTTAAATTATTATCATTTAGAAAGTTGTGGAAAGATTTTAAAATGAATTAATTTATTTACTTGATAATTAAACTAGTTCAAAGGACGTCATGCATACATTAGTTATTTTCTATATATCATTATTTATTTCTTCTAATTTTCTAAGAAATTTTCTTGAACTTGTTCTTATCTTGTTTATTTAATTTTGTTTTTACCTTCTATGATTATTTTGTCCTTTCTTTCCAAAATGAGTTGATTTGTTTAAAATCATTCTAAAAATGATAACTACTCCAAAAGACGTGTTTCTTTTTTATTTCTTCACCTCTTTCTAGTGTAATTAAATTTGACTTCTCCTCAAGAGTTTTTTTTTCTCCATTGATCGATGAATTTTCTTTGAAATTTCACACCTTAATGCAACTTGTTCCTGCAAAAAAGCAATTCTGACACAATGTACTAAAAAATGTGAAAAGGACCCTACATTAAAAAAATGTGTACTTTTCATACATTTTCTTTTAGATTATTTATATCATGTACTAACATTCTTCTTTGGATACAGTTCAGAAAATTCATGCTCTAAAATAAATGTGCATGTTTAAAAAGCACAAAAGTTAATATTAAATTAATGTAGTGAATTGAATTATAATATTGTTTTTACTGAAATTTATGATATCTATGACAAATAAACAAAGTTATCATGTTCATTCATTCTTAATGTGTATTCTACATTAAAATAAATGTGCATGTCTCGAAAAGCACAAAAGTCAGTATTAAATTAATGTAGTGAATTGAATTATAATATTTTCTTACTGAAATTTATGACAAATAAATAAAGTTATCATGTTGATTCTCACAGTGTTATTATATATACCCTGTGACTAGCATGTGCAATTATTTTATTACAGTGTTCAAAGATATAAGAACACTTTTCTTCTTATAGGATTCAATACGTGATGGAACTAAATTGGTATTAATAAAATTATTATAATAATTAATATTAAAAATATAATATGTTAAAGTTTAAAAAAAACTTAAATATCCAGTTTTATAACATTTAAAATTCATAATAACCTTTTTTTATCATACATAAATTAATATTACAATATTTCCTAATAATAATAAATTATAGTTAGAATAAGAAAATAATATTTTAGATTGATTTTTAATTTTTACAAAAATTAAAGTAGTATATTATTAAATATTTTTAATTAAATTGTTTTTTTATCACATGTACTTTCTTTATTGTCTTCCGTGTTTATTTTCGATTTTAGCACATATTTGTTCTCATGTTTTATAGTATTTTATTTTTATTTTTTTTCTAAAACTTCAAATTCTAGTTTAATTGATAAAAAATTAATCTTGAATTGATACTTAACAACTTAATAAATTGAGAAAAAACATTTTCTAACAATGAATTAAGTCCTTTCAAAATTAAGTATTTCTTTAAGAAATTAAATTCAAATATATAAGTACAATATATATTTTGATTATATTAAATCGATTATAGAGTGTATATTTGATTGGTGTTGTAAGTAATCTAATATTTTTAAGTTAAAAATAAAAAATAACACTATACATGAATAATTATTTAGCAAAAGATCTTCAAAAATCTAATATCTCATAGCAACAAAAAAACCTAACACTTTAACAAACAAAACAAACAAACAAGAACCTTACTTAAAAAGCAAGAAATGGTTGAAATGAAAAAACAAATGTGTGGGATTGACCATATTCAAGAAAACGGGAAAAAATAGGAGAAAATAATATGTGAAACGAAATCCATATCCTATATCAGAGGACACAATTAAAAAGATATGACAAGAGTAGGCAGTTTATCTTCTCTAGAGATGGACTTAGGAAGACTTTTATTCTTCTATTGTTGTTGAACATTAATTACCTTTAGTTTAAGTTTAAGTTTTGATAGTTTAGGTTTTGGATTGTTTTTTAGTTTATTTAGTATTTTGTTAACTTGAAACGCATAAAATATATTATATTATGCTATGGTGGGACAATTTTATGTTTTTCAGGTGTGGTTTTATTGTAAAAATAAATTATTATTTTTTTAAAGAAACCAGTAGATGTCGGTTAATGTATGTCTGACGTCTATTAACGTCGATCAGTGTACAGACAGACGTGAAATGACTTACATGCCAATTCCATGGTTTTTTCGCATAGAGCCCGAGCCAACGCCGCTCAGCGGTCGTAGACGTCTGATATAGGAGGGATATGACTGTTGGGTACAAACAAAGTCGTACATAGAATAAAATAAGAGTTGGACATGGGTTTATATACACATAAGATATCTTCATTGGTAAGAGGCCTTTTGGAGTGGTACCAAAAGCAAACTCATGAAGGCTTGACCCAAAGCGGACAATATCTTACTAGTGTTAAGATCTATTGTAACGAGTGAAGGAGATGTGGAGGGAAATGCAGCTATTAGGAAGGGACACGTGGAAGAAGAAACTGTGAGAATGGAAACGTGTAAAAGGGTTAGAACATGTAAAGAGAATGTGCTATTAAAGGATTTTGTTCGGTGAGGAGAGCATGACTCTAGTATGAACTACTTTTTGTTTCCTCTTCTGTAATTTCTGATCTCATTCATCTCTCTCTGAAACTTCACTTTCTCATTTACCCATTTCTACTCTTCTTCATCTTCAGGTAGAAACAAACACTTTGGGGAATTCTAGATTGAAGATTATTTGAATTTTTCTATATTGTAATTATTGCATTCTTGTTCCAGTTGTAAGCCAATTTCACAGATTTTACTGTTGCATTCTGTTTCAATAAAATTCCCCATTACATTGATGCTTTCATTGACGTCAATGGCTGAGAATACTCGGATGAAGGACATGCAAACCCAACTCACTTCCATTTTGAATTGGATCGAGAAACAACCGGATCGTAATAAAGCCAATCGAGATTTGCTCCTTCAATTTCAAACTGCAAATAACGATCGTATGTATAAGGTACAAAAATTGTTTGATTCTTTAAGGCATGGAGACAATCGGCACATTGATGCTTCGAACTCAAATGGGTCGCCGTTGCTGGTGACTCCCTCCGCTTCTGCGCTGCCGGTTTGCAACATCTCCTTGGGCTTTCCTCATTTTGATGGAACAACACCGGTGTTAGAATGGATTTTCAAAGCAGAGCTGTTTTTTAATTATCATCATACTCCGGATCAAGAGAGAGTCGACATAGCTTCTATTCATTTTGAGAAGGATGTGATTTCGTGGTTTCAAATGTTACACCGTATGGCGGTAGTTCGCACATGGTCATATTTGACGAGAGCTTTGGAGAGCCATTTTGAACCATCTCCTTTCGACTCGCCAACTGTAGAATTGTTCAAACTGTATCAATCTGGCACAGTTTCAGAGTACTACCTCAAATTCATGGCCCTAGCTAATAGATCTGAGGGTCTTATTGATGGTGCGGTGTTAAATTGTTTCGTAAGTGGTTTAAATCGGGATATTAGAAGGGACGTAGTGGCTCAATGTCCCACTAATCTTCTGTGCGCAGTATCTTTGGCCAAATTGTATGAAGAAAAGTATGCTCCTGTTGTGCAGCAACGTTCTACCACATATACTCATAGATATTCTCCATTATTATCTATCACTACAAATCTTACTACAATAAAGAATACAGTGAAACAGTCACTACCTCCACTGCTTCCCACACCTACCAGTCCACCAATACTCCATTCCAATGTAAAAAAAATTACACATGCGGAGTTGCAATTTAGGCGAGAAAAAGGTTTATGTTATTTATGTGATGAGAAGTTTACTTTCAATCCTAAGTGTGCTAATAGACAGTTGTTGATGTTACAAGCTGAAGAGAAGGATTTTGATTATGATAATGAGACTGAAAATCTCCAATCTGTGACTCATACAAATAGAGAAGATGGATTAGAAGATACTCATTATTTGTCTTTAAATGCTATGAAGGGAGGTGTGGGAGTTGGCACCATTCTTTTTGTTTCTCACATTAATTCTTTGCTAATCACGGTATTAGTAGATGGAGGTAGTTTAGATAATGTTTTACAGCCACAGATCGTTAAGTTTCTTTAGTTGGACATAAAACCAGCTCCTTTGTTAAAAGTTATGGTGGGAAATGAAAGTTATATGAAAGCTGAAGGATTGATTAAAGCTTTGCATATTGATGTTCAAGGGGCTAGATTTAAATTACTTGTATTTTTGCTACCTATTTTAGGTGTTGATATGATTTTGGGAGCTAATTGGTTAAAAACCATAGGATCTCATATTGTAGTTGAAGTTTTTTTGTGAGGGGAAATTTATCACTCTACAAGGCAATCTTGATTCTTCACCTACGCAAGCACATTTACATCACATAAGAAGAATGGTAAACACTGATTCTATTGCTGATTTCAGTATGCAACTGCTCCAAGACAGTCCCTCTCAGTCCCTTGTGTTTGCTCTCCCTGTGGATGTCGCACCAGATTTGGCCTTGTTGTTACGCAATTACAGTTCAATTTTTGATGTCCCAACATCCTTGCCACCTCCTCGATTCCATGATCATTCTTTTCCTTTGATGGAAGGCTCTAAACCTGTCAAGGTTAACCCATACAGGTACCCATATAGTGAAAAAGCTGAA